TTAGAACGAAAATTAATGCGTAATTTTGTTATTTAAATTTTAAAGATTTAAAAAAAAATTATTTATAAGTAAAAGCACATTGTGTCACTCGTGCAGCGATTAGACGCAAATTTACGTATGAATCGCAAAATATATGTGATAGATATATGCACTTACGTACACTTCGTGCCATGTCTCACGCGTCCAAAGATTCCCACACTTTCGCCGTACTCTGTAAGCGCCTTTGACAACATTCTTTATATACGTATTTCTTTTACACAACTCAAGATTCTGTTGTTCATCTATTTAACCACAGCGACGAATCATTGCATAATAAATGTTGTGTTTTTAACAAGCATCACTATTTAACACAAGTTATTTCTCTGTGAACATATTATATATATATAGAATTCTTATCTTTCTTTCTGTAAATGCACAATTGGCATAACATAAAAACGTATACGGCACGTGTACATCTAATTATCGGTTTCTCGCAGCACGACTAACAGACGCCGTAATAGCTCTGCAGTAATGGCTTGCCAATAAAACATTTATGCAAGTGGAACAAGAAATAAGCACGTATAATTGTTGAATCTATTAACTTAATTTATTAGGCTGCTTGTCGCAGTATATTTTTTATATTTTTATCTTAAGTGATTACTACTTTGTGACATAATCTGGAATATCAAATGCAAAAAAATATTAGTCTTTATGATAGATAATAAAGATATGAATACTTGTTACAACACTGTTGCAATTGATCTAATCAATTTAAGGACATTACATCCATTTGTCGGATCAATTTACATTACATATTATAAAAGAACATGGCAAAAAAGCGATTGCCGGCTACAGTCAAATTAATCAAGTTTCCGTACAACATTCCGTTTTACATTAAAATCTATCAATCACTTTTTCTGTCGCGTACTGCATTTTGTATCTTTTTACATACCTTTCACTTAGCTATAGCAATATTGCAGATTCAAGAAAGGTTTTTATAGATTAGTATTTTTCTGAATGACCTATAGAAATCGTCGTTGCGTCGCTTTTAGATCACAACTACGCTGATCTTATCTATAAATCTGAAACGCGCGTGACTCGTTGAATTCTCGTGTACAACATGCTTAACGAATCGCGTAAAAGTTCACAAAGAGTACAGCAAACACCATTATTAGTTTATTACTACCATTGAGATATCTCCTTCACTATTAAAGCGTGACAGAGATCCGGGTATCAATTAAGGTACGGGAATCGTCGCGAAGCCGTCGCAAATCTATATACTTATGGACGCATTATACGATTTTCGCTCGCTTAATAACAGTGATTGTCTTAATTTCCAGCAAAGGCACGCATATAGAATGATCCACATATGCAAATGAAAATTATATGCATACTTAAAGCTCCGCAAGTCTCATCTCCGCGCGATCGGATGAATTATTATCCGCAAAGGCGGGATTAACGAGCCACGTTAATGAACGCGATAAATCACTTGTTTCTTACGCTGGCGTGTTCCTTTTTTGCGTGACGGAGTTGTTTGTTGAAAAGTAGGGATTTCTAAGAGATCGTCTAGTTTCGCCTTAGCGTAGCGACATTAATTTGCGGCAGGTACAAGCAACGCGAGTGCGATTGAAGCGCGTGCAGATAATGTTCAACTTGTTCAACGCTTAATGTTTGGTATAAATCGACAAGTTGATGTTACGCGCTCTTTACGGCGCTGCAACAATGCGATGCTTTATAGCAACATCGCTGGCCCGATGGGTGGTGCCGCGGGACAATGCGAGTTATTATCTTCAACTTACACACCGCAAACTGTTAATCGATGCGCTACATCAAATTTCATCGTCGAGCATCTGTAAATTTGGACGCCGTGTCTCTCTTCGACATGAAATAATTCGAGTTGTATGCATTTCACGATTTATGATAAATGTGTATGTTGACAGAATTTTTTAACAGCAAATCGCGATTCTTTAAAAAAGTTAAAATTATTCGAAAAGGTGTTTATTCCATATTCCAAGAATTACTGTCAGATACTTCGGCGATGCTACACCCGCATGTTATATTGTATACTTTGGCAAAATGCATGCTCGGATTTTGATATCACTACCTATTTTTAGCCGAAAAAAAGTTTGCAACGCGCGGGATCCCGCTTCATCGCGCGGGCGAAAGAAAAGTATGGTCGATGTTTTATGGAAGTCCCGCCGACCATAAATTATAATCAACGTCCGTGCCAACACTAACAAACTTCTAGGTGCGTCATTAGGGCGCAGTGCGCGCGTACGCATTTGTTGCGCGCTCGTTATTAAGCGCTCTCGCGGGATATCCCGTAGGAGTTATCTCTGATTAGCTACGCGCAATGTCCTGTGTCCGGCACAAAAAGATCGCCCTCATTGTCGCTGTCATAACGCGGAAGAATAAAAGAGATGTCTGTAAAGGCGAGTTTACGCGGCTTTCATTTTCTCGATAATTGTCTGACTAAAAATTATTTACAAATGTATTTAATCTAATGGAAAAAAATCTCTACGAAAGTGAAATGAACGCGGTTTCATCCGCTTTGTGGAAATAAAATTACTTTCTATATGATTCATTACAACAATAAGTAAGGGAGATAATAAAATAATGTTGTATTAATAAATTATGATTAAATTTATGCTGCTAATTTTACAGACGAGTAAAGTAAAATTTTATATTTACGTATAACGTTAAATGTGATGTATGAATACGTTGATGTTTATTTTCCTCTGACACTTTATGTTTGTCAGATAAAATGTTCCACCTTGTGAAACTTGGGACATATATTGCGTGTCTAAACAAAAATTCATTCATCCACTTGAATGACTCATCCGGAATGATTACAAAGCGCGGATCGTGTAAATTCGCCTTAACACGCCGCGCTATTCCGAAGAGATGATTTCATCACCGTGCCCTACGAGACAAGTGGGCGTCGCGAGGAATGTAATTCTTCGGTGTCACGACAGGAGGTAGGGTGTAAAGACGAGCGCAGAGAGGTAACCTCTTGTAAATTACGATGGTAGTAAATCGGAGAGCGTTACGTTATCGCTTGCGATGAATCGCCGGAAAAGCGCGTAATTATGGTTACAGTCGTTAATGCGCTATTCATTATTTCGATATCGATATCGAGGAATCCTGCGAAAGTAATGAATCGTATATTTTATTCGTAAGATAGCATCGATGAACTAAATACGCGCGTGAATGTTTCTTTACGCGATGTAAAGCTCTTTTTATACTGATATTATTAACATCGAAGAGGTACTTTATCAATCGTTATTCTCGCATTAGAAAATCCTAAAGAATTTTAAGATTTTTAATATAACAAAGAAACATACATTTAGTCTTCTAATAATAAAAAATTTTATATACATTTCCTTAATTAACAAATGATTTAATACATATTTCTAGAAATTACAAGAACGATTAGTATAATTATCTTAGTAAATTCCATATCAGGAAATTATAAATTATAAATGATACATTTTGTAATAAATATCACTAATAACTTCGGAAACTTTATTAACGAGTTATTAATAGATAATTACAGAGCGCATCTTCCAGCATGATAGTCTGCGTTACTATTACAACAAAACATTTTATGGATAAATGTGATTAATAACACGTTGTTTTTCACATGCAATAAAATTGCATGCGCCTGAATATGAAGTTTGAAAAAATTAATAAATGTATTTTTAACGAGGTGATATCATCAATGAATTTTATGAGACAGAAAATTATTACAAGACGACAAGACAATGTAAACGATGTAAATGAATTAAAAACATAATTTCTATTGCACGTTAAAACTCGTGGGAAAGCGCTTATGTAGCGCTTTTTGTTGAGTTCTTTCACTGAAATATTCTACATAAGTATTTAAAGAAAGATTAAATACAAATGGCTTCTTACTTTTTGTTCCTATTAATTTAAAAAAAATTTATATTAATGCAACTGTGTAGCTTTATGAAGCTATCGAAAATTAAACTGACAGAAATAATCAAGTTATATGTCATATAAACACATCAACATTTTTTTTTTGATGCTCCGCTTATCTGTTTATTAACTGAATATGTATTAAAATATAAGAGCTGAATATTAATACATGATGTGGGCTGTAAAAGTTATGCGTAAACATTGCAAGTTTTATTACGTAACTGAGATATGGTAGAGAGCTTCCCGTTTAATTATATGTTTTTTACATCTCATACCGGATACGGTCAATGTTGCTAACGAGGAAAACGATTGCGGGTGTCATTACCGACGAAGAAAAAGGATGCTGCCACTATTACGGCGTAGGAAAAAAGGTTCTACGTTCGCGTTATTTCAAAGAGATGATTTCATCGGCGCGCTTTATGAGTCGAGCGTATGGTGCACCTGCTCCAGGGTGTAATAGAGTTTACGAGGATGTTGTGCGGTTCACAAATAAGCTTAATATCGCTTTACCCGACAAATGTAATGTCTGTTAATTTACAATGTTTAATATAGGAAGTAATTTACATTAGTCGCCATTTAAAAAATATGCGAGTTGTTTCTCTAAGTATGTAAATTAAAAAAAAATTTTAACTCAATATTTCTTAAATGTTGAATCTTAAATTAATGCATTATGCATTAAGATAAAGTTTGAAATTAAACGAAGATTTCGGAAAATATTAATTTTTCTTTGAGATGCAAAATTTTACTTTAATGATTTTTAAGCCTTCTCTATGATTATATTTCACATCAGCAAATGTGACAGCTTGTATATAAAATTAAAATTTAAATAACGTTAAGAACTTGAAAATCAGGAATGACATATATGTACAATATGTGCAATGCCTGATTATACATACTTGATAAACTCATAAATCATTGCAACATATTAATTCTGAACGCAATAAGATGATTAAGCTTGTAATGAGCGAGCTGTATCAAGTTTATCAGTCTCTAACATTCGATGCACATTAGACATTCTTTTCTTCATAAATTTTTTAATGAACTTGTAATCGAATAAGAAATAAGAAAAAAAAGACACTCACCTTCCACTAAGGATGTTAAGAGCGTGACGTTGGCCGCCTTCCTTCTACCGGCTGGCAGATTCAAGCCGATTTTTTCCAGCTTTTCCCTAAGCAGACGTCCGCCGTTTTTGGATTTTGCTCTGCGGAAAAGAAAATATTTTCACATAATTAAATATGTACATATGATATTTTGTGGACAAGAAATTCATCATGTCGCATTAATAAAAATGCCAAGATTCTAATTCATATATCTATCTGTTACATTTTGTGGTAAAATATTTTTTTGTTCATAAGTTTTATATTCATTACTTAACAAAAATAGCTAAGCTCAAGCGAATTAAAACTTTTTTTACTTTATAATCGGCGATCAATTGAGTCGATTACGTCGGCGGAATGATCAACTTGATTCATTCTTACGCTAATTTTACACACTCCGCAAAGTAAATACTTGAGCGTCATATTTATCAGCGTCCAATTAATTATTTTTCTTCCTTCGCGTAATATTTATTCGGACACAAGCGCACGCCCACGTGCGCGTGTTCAGCTCGACACGTTCCGGCGCGTGAGAATTTCGAAACGGAACTTCTCCATTAATCATTTCGCCATGGTCTCTAAAACGATGAAATCGAGGTGCGAGAAGGGTGGGGAGGAAAGGAATACGGGTGGATTAGCATAATCCGCGACTGCGTGTGTCATCGGCGATTGAGCAACTCGACGCACGGCTGAACGACCGCAACGGAGCAAAGTACATTTGAGGATGCGTGCCTGTTCAAGTCGCGCAACGTTTTGTGGAATAGGATCTGAAAGGAGCACTATGCTCGCGTAGCAGTCTATTCAAGCTACGGCGCGAGCGAGTAGGACTTTTACCGGCACTTTTATGGTCCCCTTCGATACTTGTATCCGCATATAATATCCCGCCTGTGATGGTGCGTTAATGTCTGATCATTGATTAAGATTAAAGATTATTTCGCGCTATGATTACGCTTCCAGCGGCAATTAAACGCGCCGTTTATTTGTTACTTCGAGAAATAGTTTGAAGGATAAAAGAAGACTAAAACCGTAATCTAAATGCCTGCGTTTAATCCCGCGTTTTATAGATGAGAAATATCGACAGATTTATATGTGTCAAATGACTTTAGAGGTGGCTTCATTAGCTAGATAAACGTTTCCTTGTCGAAGAATGTAAGAACAATATGTTTGAAATTACAATCCTTTCAAAGTGGCGTACCGCAAGCTGCGTGACTAAATAAGTACACACTTTATATCGATTTTACGAAGTGCGAGCAATTTTAATTAGCGAAATATAGGATCCTATACAAAAGTTTCAATCGTTCTTTCACCTTGCTGCGTGTTAGATACGTCCCGTGTCGTTCTTTCGGGCGAAGTCTATTAAGACACCATCAAAAATTGCGTTTTAATCCTTTCACGCTCGCGTGTACGACTTGTCGCGCGGCGGTGTTGTTGATCCAGCGACGAGGCCGCGAAGTAAATTTTTTTTCGTGGAACACCGGAGCGGATACGCGATAGTAGCAGCGACTTCTTTCTTAATACACACCCTGTCCATCCATCATCCCGGCCTTATAACGGTAACGCGTATCGTCCACCTTTGTTCGGTTCGGCTGTCCGCCGGTCCGCCCGGTAATCTTTCGCTTCGGTCGGCAATTAATACGTTTTACCGCTATGAGTTTTTAATATCGGTACCGCCGACTCTCTCTCTACACGCTGGGCGTTTCGCTCATTTTATGTTCCCAGAATCCTTTCGAGACGCATTCGGTGACATTGTATTTATTTTCAGATACAATCTCGATGAGGAAGCAATATACATTTAATTATCTCTGTAATTAAAAAATGCGGCTTTGTGCCCGCGCCTGAAACTTTTATTTTTCAGATATGTAAATATGGGCGGAATACTTTAATCATATTATGTTGCTATTCATCTATTGAGCAAGAAAAAATCTTGTAATGAGCTTCAATATTTTTCCCCGACAATAATTCAATTTAATCGTGTTATTCATCATCGTTATGCAATTTCAAATTATTTCCCATATCTCTCAATTTATGTTCCCCGTGTTGTATATTACGTTATAAACAGATGTTAAATTGACAGGATTTCTGAAATTATATTCTCAACATGCATTCTCGTTTCGAACAAATCGTCAATCTACGGTCATAATTTATAGAGTGATTCGCACGATAATTCGCTCGGTATAATTTATCGATACGCATCGTGAGATTTGCAAACTGGTTTCGGACGACGCATCACTCCGATTACTCTAAAAGCGAATTGTACACGTGTCGATCGTTTATGGTCAATGTACAGGCGATGGAATTTCGTCGAGTTCCGAGTGTAATCGATCGTGAAAATGAATGCACGGCCAAAACGAATCCCTCGTATTTATTGTTAACGATCATTTTGCCGTCGTTTCTTCGTACGTGACGGGAACGACGCTGCACTCATTACAGAGTCTTGTCCTGAGAAGGATCCTCCATCCCACTCTCAGGCGCATCGTCTCCTCCGCGTCGGGGCTGCCGCGAGACTCGCACCCTCGACATCGATTCTGCCGATAGGAATCTTGGTGAGCCCGGATTCCTTGTTCCCCCCTCCTGATTACGCGAGACATCCTTGAATACTGGCATCGTTAATCGTCTACGGACGCCACGCGACGATAGTAAACCGAAGGATCTCATGATCAAGGCTCATTCAATCTCTGCGGCATTCGTTTTACCAAATGAGACGAAATCACGTAGTAACGCGTGTGCGAAGAGATGCTGTAATTTGCTGGAATATTCATAATACCTTTGCCAATTTTTTTTTTTGAGTACATATAATTTTATTAATTTTTTAGCTTTTTGTGAATACGAACTCGACATAATGTCAGCTTATGCTTTTTAAAATTTTTGGAGTAATTAAATTCTATAAATCAGAAATTATATTTTTTTTATTTTTTATAAAAAATCACAAATTATGTGAAAATTTATCCCATTCTTACGTTAAAATATGAAAGTTCTGATCTTTGAAAAAAAAGTGTGAAAGAGTAGTATTTAATGCTGAAGAAATTATGCTAATGAAATAAGAAACTTTTGTGCCATTTCTTGTCTGTATGAATCTATTTAATTTCATCTATTCTTATTTTTATATCGGCATCTTACTTGATTAAAAAAGTAATATTGATTCGGAATGTTGCCTGTACAATAAATTAGATCGTCAGATTGAGTGATTGATCGTCAGGATGCTATACATATTTCTGCGGTTAACAGATTTAATGAGAGTTGCGCAGAGAATAATACGACAGTTTCTTACCGCCATTAAAGTTTTTTTGCCACAAAGTGAAACTTATGTATAGTATTAGCGTATACTTGTTTACGTAATAATTGGTGTGCGCGCATAATCTCTTTCAGCCTGAAAACGTCACGCTATAGAAAAACAGAATAAATTCTAGACCGGCAAAACTTTATCCTACGCAGCGGAAGTCAGCCGTGTTTTTAAGTGGCCCGACAATTTTGCGTAAAGATTTTGCTAATCCCAAACAAATTTCTGATCGATATAGTTATTATTGCGTAAAGTTCGAAGACTGCTTGCTTCAAAGCGTATTAAAAATAATACATTATACGAAGAATGCAGCCAAAAAAATATATTTAAATATTGTTATGTTCATAAATTGAATGAAATCGTTCAGAAACATTTGCAATTCTATATGTATATTTTTTAACTATCAATTAAATCATACTTGCTAGTGCATGATACTTTGTTGACAAGCTTTTTTCTTATCATTTATCTTGTCACATTTATTCATTTTTATTCAGAGATGTAATCGGCAACATTGCTATTGACTTGCTCGAGCGATAAATCTTGTAATGACGAGCCTACGATTCTAATAAACGTTATGCTAATGGATATCAGAAATACCCATTCGCATTTATGATTCGTGGAATGAATCTGACGTGTATAACAAAACGAAAATAAATGGAGCGCAGCGCAAAGTGTGCGCGTTACGAAATGGCGCTGGGAGCGATAAAACGCAGCGGTGAGAAAACAAAATCGGGAGGCGCGAATCGTTGTATCTGTGTGACAAAAGCGCTCGCATATATCTGCGAGGATCTTAATGCGGCGCAATCGATCTTTAAGGATCTCTCTCGAGGCGTATTACGAGCGACGATTGTTGGTCGATCCTTATGAACGCGCGCGCAGGCCGCGAATGAGGCTGGGGATATGGTGGGAGAGACAAAAGGAAGGTACAAAGAAGAGAGAAAGAGAGAGAGAACGATCTGTGGTGGCAAGTCGCAACCCAGTGCATGTAATTATCGGTCAGATCGCTATGCGAACGGATGAATTATAACATCGCGGTCGGTGCGAGACGCCGCGCGCTCGCCCGAGGCGTGTTCCGCTCGCGCAGAAGAATTGACACTCGGAGCCGCGCGGGTTATTAATGTCTCATTTGCATCGGGGATAGATCGCTCCGCTTTATTAGCAGTTCATTCCGCGACGTGCGAAAGATTCGACGCGCTTCGTCACCGGGAGCAACTCGTGGGCGGCGTGGTGCAATTAACGCAAGATGCGCGCGATACACGAAGATAACGCGTAGTCCAGTGATATTTTGTTCACCGCGGAAGTTTTACATTTTATTTTAGACGGAGATCTTTCAAAAGGGCGGAATTTATTCTTTAATAAACACTGTACAATGTATCGCAAATTTTTTTTCAGCGATAACTTCGATCATATCCATGTTTTTGGTCCTGCGCTCATATTTTTTCTTTTTTTTTTGTATAAAACAAATTGCAAAAAAAATATTTCTATTTTCAACTTTTAACAAATGTGGAGAAACAAACCTGTTAATTTTTTTTTTTTCGCTTGGTATTCTGAATTTTTCTGTTGCGTTATTTTCTTCTGAACGATCGTGAAGCAAAACGCGCGGTTTCGCGATAGCAATTTCATAATGCCTGTTGCGAGAAAAGGATTCAGCGTGAAAAGCGCATACATATGAGCGCATGAAAGTATATCTGGTCGCTCTCGTGGCAATTTATCCACGCCTTTGATGATAAAGCGTTGCGCAATGGGCAGTGTTCTAGCCGGATAAGAGGGCGAATCAGATAAAAGGAGGGTGCTCGCCCGCGAGAGGCTTCTATAAATCAGGTGGCCGTCTGTTGTGCTTGGTCAGGCATAAGAAGGCCGGATGAGCTGAACGCGGGTTTATTAATTAGTCCCGTAGATAAAGTCGTGTAACGGCGCGTATCTCCATTCCGCGGTGTCTTTTTACGCGCTCGCGCGCATTGTCCCGATCGCGGCGTATCAGTTATACCGATTATTTCGATACGCGAGCCGGAAATGTCCGCTTGACGCAACGCTGCGTGCTTCGTATTCTGTTTCCCCCGCGAAATCAATGACCGCAATAACTGCGAGCAACGGACACGCGCGATATCCGCGCGGATTGTTGTCTTTTTTTTTTTTAAAGCACTCTGTTTGCAGGAAATGTAATGCTACGCGCTCGTTATCTTATGTCTCGCGACGGAATATTCATGAGAAATCGCGAGTCCTATTCTCAGTCCGCATGTCATATGATTACTTTAGAATTCATTTCTAAGAATATATGAGACGTCCGTATCGATATATAAATCTCTTTATAGCACTTAGTAATGTAATAGATCTTGTCTTTGACTGTTTATTTTTTATTTGCTTGATCGAAAATTAAGATAGCATCTTCCGTAATCTTTCAGACAACATTCTGGCATCTTTGATTTTTTTATCGAAAGCGCTGATTCTAATTGATACAACTGTATTTATGATACAACGCAGACAAGATTGATTAAAACACTTTTGAATTAAATTCCTTACCTTCGCAACACGCCACCGAGAAGACTCGCGTTCAAGCATTCCGGTGGCGACAGTCGTCTTTGTACCTCTGCTACCGTAACTTTGTACTTGCTGGTGCTGCTTAGTAACGACAATCGTCCTGGGACCGAACAGAATACGTCCGACGGTTGCGCGTTTCCGCTTAACATGGTCTTCTCGCTCCTGTCCGAAGGTTTCATATCTGTAAGAGAGTCAAACGTAGCTGTTAGAACAGAATTATTTTAAGGGTGACGAGCAAATCGACTAAATTGCACTTGAAATACTGTAAAAAACCTACATATTGACATAAATTGTAAACATCAAGAAAAGGTAAAATATCGAGAAATTACTTCTTTTCATACATCTTTTAATTATCAATTTATATGATATATTGTTCGACATATGCACAAAAGCTGACACACATCTATCTTCAATTCGCGGCGGAAGTGATAAACTTCTTCCGTTAAATTATCGATAAGTATCGTGTAATGGCGCAATTTAATAGCTCTAATGGGAAAAGACTTCTGGGAGTTATCGAGCGGCTCGGTGCTTTGATCAAACGAGTATCTAAATGAGTTTTATTAATGGAATCCATTATATATATATATAACCCCAGAAATGAAATAAATGCCGACGGGCCGATAACACTGATCGGTGTCGCGTGTTTCGCAAGATTTCATGTTATCCGACCTCTCTCTCTCTCTCTCTCGCCCCGTCGCCGCCGCTTTTCATTTTCGTCTTCACGCCGGAACGATAATAATCAGTTTCGTTCAGCGTACGGAGGAATGCAATAATCCAGTTAAGACTGGAAGACCGTAGTCCATTCTCATAGAATGGTCAAAGTGAGATTCACGACTCGGCGGAGCAGGGAATACCGGAAGCAAAGCTCCCGAGATCCGAAATTATGTTACGCGCGGCCTGTAAACGTGTGCACGCGTACATATCTGTGTGTTTGAGTGCGTAACCGTGATCTTCGGGCAATATCTTCAGCGAATATTTTAAATTTGCCCGTTCCTGTTTTCGTTCCTATGCATCGAATAGCCCCGACATTATTGCATCGTTGCCCTGGAATGCTTAATATCGTGCCTTGGGGCCGCGGACAAAGCGCGTTATTACACGGCAAAGAGATGGTCAACTTATAACTCGGCACTCTTCATCGCCGGTGCACGAAAGCGGGAGGGGGGGATATATCGTTGAACCAATGTTCCGAAATTTTGCGTTTCGATACGAGAAAACCGTTAAATGGAAATGATTTCGGATGGAATCCGTATTTGCGTCTTTCGCGAATCAGGCGGGATGTACATAAATCTTTCACAATGCTCTACGAATTTGCTTTTTCGAGGAAAAACTGCCGAGCAAATGCCAGCTGCACAAAGCATGCGATGTAATGCGATTTGAATGCAATCGACAGTCGAAAGAATGAAATTCCACGGGCGAGGGAATTCGCCGTCTTACAACGTCAGGCATTTATTATCCCAACGTCAATTAACTATCGCTGCCTCTCGCCCGATTCATCGCGACGGGGCAACGATTAAATGCACCATCATCCCGTTAATGTCAGCGTGTTATGACAGATACACGGAATGGCTCTATAAATCTAACCCATAGATATCGCGCGACATTTTTGCCGGCGTGTCCCCGTTTCCCGCCTCGACGCTCCCGCGGCGCGACGCGATCGCGTGCGTTTCGTATTCGTCGGATCGTAAACGACTGATTGTGCCGAGGCACCGTCCCGTTCCGAGTACAAGATCCCGCTTGATATTCAAGCGCGGAAGAAATCACACATCGTCCCCGTCGTCGTCGTCGTCGTGACGGGCGGGTGAAGGGAGAAAGTATAAAACAAGTTGTCCGTATTATCTGCGACTGCCGGTATCGATCCCCCCCCCCCCCCGGGTCGATGTCTCGATCCAGCGTGAAGTCAAACGGACAATAAATTTCCGTACGCACCAAATAGGTCGACCTGTCGTACGCGCGCGCGTACGTTTATAAATTATAATGTTCCGAGAGGACGGACGCGCGCGATAGAGAGAACGGGCGCGTAACGGTCCTTGCCTGGCGGCGGCCGTGCGTTAGACAATTTGGTAACCTCGAAATGATGTCGGAGAAAAGAGAAGAAAAGAAACGATAGAAAAAAAAAAAAAGGACGAAACACGACGGGTGTCGGTGTGTGTACACGTTTTCCGTGACTCGCGTCAAGCGTGCTGCCTCTCCTCGTTTTTCTCTACGCTTGATATTAGTGGGATGTTAAGTGCGGCTTTTACGTATCGTTTATTTTTTTTCCTAACGTATACTTAAGGATTTTAATACTTCTTTTTCCTCATACGATGATTCTCTCTTTGCTCTTCTTCTCCGCGCTCCTTTTTCCGTTTGAACTTGGCTGAACTTTTTGTTGTGTTTAAATCAATTCCTGATCTAAATTATTTTTTCCAGATTGTGAGAATTAACGAATTATTACATCTGCAGAATCTGCTGAAATTGTTTTCGTTGATTATTTTCATTGATCTCAGACTTGACTGAAATTTGTCGAATCTATGGCGAAGTGCATTTTTCGAAAGACAATAATGCTTTAATTCATTAAGTATCAACAGCACGTACGCGTCGTTAGAGGAACATTTAAAAACGCCTAAGTGCTGCGAGCATATTTCTAATCGTGATGTTGCTATCTCGAACATTTATCTTGATTCCAGTAACGGTTTACGAACATATATTAATTTATTTAATGGGGATAGCTCGAGCTCTTCGCTTACGACGCTTGTAAGGTCGGCATCAATAGTGCTAAGCGTGTAATTATTGTGAGCTGCCGTAACCTTTCGCTGCGCGAATTGTGAAACCGTCTCACTCATCGACGGTCAGCGCTATATCGGTCTCTCTATCATCAGTTAATCACTCACTCCGTATGTGTATCTAGTAATTCGATGACGATAGGAGAAATAAGTGAGCTCGTAGAATTTTATTCCAGATTGTCTTAATTAATTATGATTAATCGCATTTTCACATGATGCACTTATCTTAAATGTATCATGCATTTGCTCGGACAGAGCATCAAACGACAATGTGTCTTTCCATCTGAAGATCTCGAGAAAGTTGAATTCGAGCGAACGATAATTGTGAATTTATCCAACTAAACAGCGAATGGCATCTTCAAACGCTTGAGTTATCGCGGCAATAATCGCATCTTCCTCGCTCGAGACGTGCTCCGCTTCTCTTATCGAGCAACATGGCCACACGTATGTGACGCACACTTGAATATTTTCCTCTTGAAATTACTGTCGCTAAATCAGAATGTAGATAACGTCCGGGAAGTTAACATCGGATAATTTATCAGTGCCCCGATGCAGAATGTTATCGCGGACTCGAAAGCGGAGCGTGTCGCGAAAATGACGAGCGACTATCCCGTGGATTAACAATTGCGGGCCGGTGATATTTGCGCAGTTAAGAAATCGTAATAGTATTCTAAGTTTGCTCGCACAGATAATTTGTAGGTAGACTTCCTTCGTAGCCGTTTACCGATTCTCTCGATTACGTAGCAACCTGAATCACGCGCGACCATGACACAGGAAGCACTTTATGTTCTTATGTCTTCGCGTTCTTATGTATCCGTTCCGAGAAATGTCCCCGAAGAAGATGCTCTTGCAAGTAGGCTTGGTTACTCACGATACAAACTTTCCTTTCGCTTCCAACTGCGTACGAAGTGTTGTACAGAAGAATAGTATAAGCGAGTAAAAATTACAGCTTCAGGCATCTTTATTCATTTATAATTATTTTAGAATAATATGAAATTTTAAATTTGCCTCTACAGAATTATAAGAAATTACTACCGAAAAACGCTACTTTAATAAATTCTTTGCATCTTTTAAAATAATCGAAATGAGATTGATACTATTTTTTTTGAAAAACTTCAAATTTTCTATTTGCAATTATTAAGAGTAATGAATTTATAAGCGAAAGAATATTTGGAATAATATTTGTGCTATTCGAGGTGAATTTAAATATACAGATTCCAATCCGTTATTTTAGTAAATTGCTACATAAGAATAAATCACTGTGTTGCTTGAACGCACATGTTTTCATGATGTTCTAAGAAAATGTTGCACTTGTAATTAGTTTTGACGTAGAATAGTAGTTTCGTGAAATTACTATGGGCGTAATAAGCGCATGATCTAGCTTATAATTTTCACGAGCCAATTTTTTATCATTTTATTACGTTTAGTAAATGATTGAAAATTGCTACATCTCGCTGTGTGCTATTATTATTAATTTGCTAATCCGCTGGTCACAATACTAATGCTTCTTCTGTTGCGTCGACTGATGTATTCGATATTGTATTACAAAATGCGCGTGTAATGCATATTTATGTAATATTTACACCTCTGAACTCTCATCTTCGAGCATTACAGGCGTCTAGTTAAATGAGAGTTCTTGTAGCTCACATGCGCGAATAACAAACATTAATTTCCGAATGCATTAAAATACAAATCCAATGCATTACATGACAATTAACTTGGGCGGATTAATTTAAAAAAATCGTGTTGAAAAACAAAATTAACAGTTCGATAATGGATTAAATTATAATCTCATTAAATATGAATCTTAAGTATCGCTGCTGATCGCTCTGATTACATAAATAGTATAATATATTGTCAATTATTGCAGTGTCGACAATTGGCGATTATGATCTTATCATATCGAGATGATAATTTCGTGAATTTCACGAAAAGCAGACGACACCGTAAAATTTCGAGGTTTCCTACGCGCGTGACAAGCGCAACTATGGCGCGGTTGAGACTGTGTAAGCAAATCGATTTGCATAATCGTTTCTATTTAATCTTAATTAGGGATCACCTGAAACGGCGCGCGCGATAGTGCGTTGAGAAATAACAGCGGCGGCTGTTATACGATCATTGACGAGCGCGTCGTAAAACCGTCATCCACGAGTGGCGAGCCACCGCCAGTGGGCGATTAATTAAATCTCTACTTCGAAGTCAATAGTGCGAGGAAAAGTGATAAATCGACGCGTAGTCGTGCAAACACGGCGTTTCTGCTCGTCTCCTCGCCGTTGGCTGCTGAGTAACAGGTCGACAGGTAGTTTGCTGTAAAAGGCAAAGCTGTCGCGCGTATACTGGGTCGATGCTGGAACAACATTGCGACTTTACAACCGTCACTAAGTGTAATAACATTGTCGAGAGTCAAAGGTGACGACAA